GTGGGATCTGCTGGAGCTCCGGCTTTCAGCGGCTCCCTGGGTTATGGGGGTGTCTACGGTGCCGGGGCGTTCCCGGGGTACAGCGCCCGCTCTGGATATGGGATCTCRGCTCTGGGCAGCGGTTATGGGATCTCAGCTCTGGGCAGYGGCTACTGCGGCCCCTCCTCATCCCGCCGCTTCAGCCGCCTCTTCCGCGGCTCCTGCGGGCCCTGCTGAAGGCTTGGAATCCTCTAAGGAATGTCCAAATCCGCGAGGATGAGGATTCGGTGTTCCCGCAGCGCCTCCGCATTCCCGATCTTTCTCCCATTTCTCGCTCGGCATCTCCTTGTTTGTTCCTGTTCCGGCATTCCCGATTTATTGAACCGGCGTGGGACAGCCCATTCCCTGTGGATATCACCCTTAATCCCAAATATTTTCAGCACCAGCTGCCGGGAGGAGCCGGCTGAGGACGTCTCAGAGCAGGACTTTGGTTGGACATTCCCTAAAATCATTCGGAAATGGATTTTCTGCATTCTGTGATCTCTGGCTTTGCAAAGGGGCGTTTCTCTTTCATTAAAACTTCATTGCATCACATTGCAGCCTCCTGGTTTCTCTTTTTCCCCCCTTTTTCCCTTCATCCACAGCCTGGCCTGGGTGATTTCCCRCAGGCTCCCCTGAGGGGCAGCACAGCCAGATTTTCCAAGATTTCCCAAATGTTTCCATAATTTCCTCAGCAGCAGTTCTCCATCCTTTGAAGGTAAAAAAAAAAAAAATTAAAACAACAGAAATCCAGAATAATAAAGACTGAAAAACGCCATCAAAGTCCAATAAATTTGCAGGATATAGAGAATTTAACAGGTAGAATTATTTTATTATTTTATTTAGCAAATTATGCAATCAAGGAATAGTTTGGATTGGGAAGGACACCCAAAGATTATTTATTCGAACCCCTCTTCCTCCCTCTTTCTCTCACTGGATCAGGTTGCTGAAAGTCCCTTTAAAACCCCAAAAATTAAGAATTCCAGACATTCTTATTAAATTATTTGAGTTTTAGGTAAAAAAAAAGGAGGGAATGAGCCAAAAAAACCCCCAACTTTTCTTCTGTGTGCCTGACAAAACATTTCATATTAAACACCTGAAAAACTGAAATTGCAAAACTGATAAAAATCAGTGGCAAATCCTCCCTTTGCCAATCCCACCGGAATCCAGCCCTGGAAGGAAGTTGGAATCCAGCCTGGCACATTCCTGAGCCTGTCATTCCCTTTGTGCCCGCAGGGAATTTGCCAGCCAGGAGCACCTAAAAACCCTAAAATAGAAAATCTGCCAGCCTGGAGCACTTCAAACCCATTAAAAAAAGGTTTTACCCACTCAATAAATATTTTATCCATTAAATAAATATTTTATCCATTAAATGAAGATTTTACCCATTAGATAAAGCACTGAAATCAAACAGGAGAGGTTTAATTGGCATCGGAGGCGGCTCCGAGCTGGGTTTTCGACACCTTTAATGAGCCAACTGCTGATTGCATTTCAATTAACAGCGGAATTTCCTCCYGGGATGCGAACGCGGGCAAAGATATGGGTGCAGTGACACCTGGGGTTCGGGATGAGGCACTGGGAGTTTTTTTTCCTCTCCTGGGAATTCCCTGTTTGGGTGGCAAATGGATCAGGAACCTCGGTTGGCGGTGAAAAATGCCAACAGGGTTTTTCTGCTTCAAATTCTGCAGGAAATGTCCCAGTCAGACACATCCCAGTGCTGCAGTGGCCAGAAAATGGTGATTTTTGTATCAAATTTTTCTCCGTGTTTAAGAGTCAAACGAACAGRGGCTGTTCCAGAGGAGAAACGGGCAGGAAAAGATGGGAAAAGGAGAAAAAAATCCTGAATTTTGAGCCACTTTCTGATCTTTTTCCTATGTTTCTTCCTTTTTCTTCTGAGCCCAAGGAGAATTGGGGAATTAAAGGTTAAGGAATTGTCCTTTAGGGTTTCATGGAACCAGAAAATTGTT